GAACAGTTGAATCGAACAGGTGGGCTCGGAGCTCTGGGCCCGTCAGCTGGTCTGTGGCTTCCTTTAGGGGTCCGAAAGCGGCCCAAGCTGCTCTTTGCCTTCTGTTTGGTTCCTTTCAGATCGTTCTCCATGTTCATCGACAACCCAGGATATACGTAAGAAGACGTCTCTGCGATTGGAGAACCTTCAATTCCATTTCCTATTCCTCGCAAAAAGCCAATGAAGTGAGCCTTTTTCCATTTAACTCGCAGTCCTATCCGCTTCCCAACTTTGTTTAGTTCATTCAACATCGTCTCCGCTTCAGTGATATTCCTCGAGAAGAGAACAATGTCGTCCGTAAAACGAAGGCTTGAGAGTAATCTTCCATCTCGTATATCTCTCTCGTTTCAATCCAGTGATCTCATCACTATGGTTAACACATCGGAAATTTTTTTTTGGATGAACGATTATCGAATATTCGTCCGTGATGCAAATATTCGAACAAATGAATATTATTCGAATCGCCGTTTGAAATATCGAATTCGAATATTCGAATATTGAGGGTTTTGTACATTCGACCATACGAATTATCGAATAATAGGGTATGACGGAATATTTGAACCTTCGAATAACCGAGTTGGTGCTCATTTTCAGATACTCGACTATTCAAATGGCAAAAATTGAATTATTCAAATATTTCAGCCTAACATAATTGCGCGATTCAATCTGTTCGATGATTTTGCAGCTATTCCATCGAACAAATATTCGATGATTCCGCAGACATTCAAACGATCGAATATCATTTTAATCTCAGTTCCAAAACCATTCAAACTCGATTATTCGAGTGTTGTTACGAATTCGACTATTCGAATAATCGAATGAATGCGTTTTCTCGAATATTAACTATTTGAAAAATCGAACAAATGCACATTTCAAACATTTCGAATATTTTATTCGAAATGTTCGAATAATTTATTCGGACACGAATATTTGGTCCCAACTATATTCATCACCCACTGCAAGGCGGCAGTAAACAGCTTTGGCGACACGGTGTCGCCTGGCGGACCCCCTTTGAAATTGGAATATGGGGACGATAGAAGCTGTGCCGCTGTAGAGCAGTTTTTGCAGTAGGCCAATGTCCTCAAGTTAGATAGGTCCACATCTTGGTCGACGAGCACTGACGGTATGGCATTAGTCTCGACGCTGTCAAATTTCTCATAGTCGACGAAGATTAGGACGAGAGTAGGCGGCGCCCTCGGCAAACCTCGATAATCCTCCGTACCGTCTGGATTTGATCCACGCAGCTAATCCCTTCGAGATCCAGCTTGTTCCACAGGTTGGGCTTCATCCAATGTTCATAAAATCCGAGTAAGAATAATCTTCATCATGAGCTTGTAAAGCACGCTCAGCAGGCATATTGGACGGTAGTTCCGAGGATCCTCCCTGTAGCCCTTCTTATGAAGCAAGATTGCTCGGGAGGTCTCCACTGGTCGGAAATCCTTTCCCTTTGAAGGTAAGATGTTAGATGTGCCACAAGTATCTCGTGTAGGCGCTATCCTCCAGCTCGTAAAAGGTCGGCCGAAACATGGTCCGGTACTGGAGCGGAGGCTGCATTCATGGTCTGGATTGCGGTGCATAATCCAGCAGGTAGAATCTATGGTGGTGATTCTCCGTGGGGATAACGGGGTTCGACACGGATGTTGATGAGTGAAAGAGATTGGTGTAGAAACCCTTCTTGGTCAATTCCATTTACTGCTGGGAATATGTGCGAGTCCCGTTTTCGTTCAGTAATGTTGTCAGCGGAACACGGTAGTCAAGTAGGTCCCTGCGGTACTCCTTTAGACTCCTTCCTCGTGCTGCTTCCAAAAGGTTCGATTGCCTGTACTTTCGATGATTTGCTTGCATCTGTTCCGCAACTGGCATTGAGTACCCGCTCGAGTTGTGATGCAGTCTCAGTTGCTCTTCTCCGCCCTAACAGATTCTTGGTGGCTTTCGAAATTCGTTCCAAGTTCCTTGTGCGAAGTTAAGGCTTTCACCACAGACTCTCAGTTTCTTTCCAGTCAAGTGGTCAGGAGCTTCTCCAATTTGATGCCGTCATATACGACTTCTCTTTTCTTCGACATCGTGGCAAATCTCCTCTTCCAGCTTTCAACTGAATCACACTTTTGCTCGAAGGAGGCAGTGATTTGAGCCACTATGAAGGATGATACCACTACGTCATCAGCACCACCTTCGGTTGGTGAGGATTTGGTCGATCTCCGCATGAGTCGTACCGTTGGGTGAATCCAATGTCCACCGCCTGTGTTTTTTCTTCATGAAGATGGAATTGCCATGAAAAAGTCGTGCGGCACATAAGAGACCAACACGGTTACCATTTTCGTTCCGGAGTCCTGATCCAAATTTCCCGATCCTATGCTCCCCTTCTTCTGACTCCCGATTTTCATTAAGTCACCCACGACAAATTGGTAGAACTTCTCTTTGCGGATAACTTCCTCCAAATCCTTATGAAAGACATCAAGTTCTGAGTCATCAATTGCTGATGTTGGAGAATAGCAGTTGATGATAGGTATGTTTTTCTGATGCAGAGACGGATTCGAAGGATAGCCAGGCGAGGTGATGGGATCTCATGCGAATCGACAAGATGGAAAAGAGGGATCAAATGCAACGCTTCCAATTCCGTGATGAAACTTTCTCATCGAATGTTGAAAGTGCCATCACTCAGCTGCCTCGCGTCCGTCTTCCTGAACTTTGTTTCCTGCAAGGTGATTACGTAGTAGTTGACGCGCCCTGCTTTTTTGAGATGCATGAAGGTCGGCGTTGGTGGAGACTGTCCTGGCGTTGTAGGTGCAGAGCATGAGAAATCTCCACGGCGATCGTTGACGTGTCCTTTTGGTCCAAAATCCATGGCGTCCTGTGAACCTGACACTGGTTGCACAGGATGCCATAAACATGGACAGATTATTAAAGTAATCGTTTTGTTTCAAAAAATATTCGTTGAATAAAAGAGTCAGAAACGTTATCATCACAAACAAAATCAAGACCCAAGTTCGTGATATTAATGAAACAAAGAATTTGACTAGCGATACTAGACGGTTGAGTACATCCTGCAGTACAGAACAGTATGTTCTGGTGAAATCAAATCACTTTGTAGAAAGCCTGAAGAGGGGCATATGCGCAACAGCGTTGCGGGCGTACGCGCCAAAGAGATTTACACCCACAATCATTCGAAAAAGTCTGTACATCAAAACTACGTCAGTGGAGGATATTTCCGAAAGCACCTCAAAGTAGGGAGGCAGAAGCTTAAAACGCAAGGAGGGGTGTGGTTTGGGCTGGGTTTAGATCAAACTAGCAAAGTGACTATGTTAAAGGGTTTTTAGAAATTATCAAAAAGAGGCGTGTAAAAGGACGACATCTGCTTTATTTTCTGTTTGTTAATGTCTAAAAGAAGGTAAAAGTTGCAACTGACTGTTAGCTATGGCCATAGCAACGGTATGCTCCGCTTCTTCAACTGATTGTCGTCTGTCGATGCTTAGAAGTAGCTTAGCGACTAAGTTGTGGATACGAGAGCCTTCGAGAATTCCTATAGAAGCGATGATTGAAAGATCTGAGTGCAAGCAGAAAAAATAGTATATGATATCTAAAATATTATGGAAAAGCAATGTTGGCAAAAGTTATCTCCTCACCCTCAACAATTGCTTCTACGTACTCTTTTCTCGGCATTTCTGCAGTGTTCTTAGGAGTGGACCTTAGCTCCAGATATACTACACCATCTTCGGCAAACTCCCTAATAACGTCGACTGTAGCCTGTTATGCGAAAATGCGAAAAAAAAGTGTGGGATTAGCCCTAGTTAATGTTTTGAATAGATAAGAGAATTATAGATATGACTCACCATTTTTACTGCTTCTTTAGAGGTCGTCAAAGATTGTATCAACGGAAAGACCTTGAATACCCTGAAAAGCAGATTAAACGATCCATAAGGATTTTGCAAGTATTTATTTCATAGTTTCACACTTGAAGAGTGAGAAGCTCTTAGATTACAAAATTGACTATTTTTAGTAATTTTGGCAACATGTTTACATGTTTTCTGCCCAACTCTACAGCTTTCGCAACTGCCAAGCAAGAGGTAGTAGCGCCTCCAATGCGGCTGCAGCGCGGTAGAGGATAATCAATTCGCTTCAGTCTGGTAACTTCCTTAAATTGAAAGGTTATTTGAGCGAAAATGCACGTAAACTCAGTCCATTTCAAGGGCGTTATCTAAAATGTGTTTTTTAAAAAATGGATCTAACAACTGGTCGAGGGATTTTTGGAATAAAATTTCTGGTTATTTCAAACATATTGGTAAACTCTCTCCGTGATGAGACTGCACAGCCCAACCCCTGCGGGCATCAACTGATGAAAAACATCCGAATTCGATGCTTTTCTTCAGTCTGACATCCGCCTTTTCGAAGTTTGGTGTATGAATTGTGCAATTGCA